CTTAGGAATAAACAATCGTATTGCTTGACTACTTTCTGTTATTCTGCGACGACGAGAGTGTATACTGTTCTGTGTATTAGGCTTAGTATTCTGAAACCATGAAATAAGTTCAGGATCTTTATAATGTGGATATTTGACAGACGCCTACACTGTCCCTAATATTACACACAGATTATTCAATGAAATCCTTCACGTTCCCAGTGCTGGAACATAGGGCTTCAAGCTGCTAGTGGCTTGAAGTTTCTGTAGCAGTGTTTATTATTTTGCAGGATGGGGTTGCTAGACAACTTCATGCCCAACTTTTCTTCTTTACCAGCATTATTTCTGGCTTAGCCAGGCAAAGGAGTGCCTCGTCGGTGGCCTGGGATTGAACCCCGGTTCATGTGCATGGTCGGCGAGCGTCCTAACCGCTATGCCACCGACGCACAAATGTAATGATGTATGTGACCGCAATCGACTTCGGGATTGACCTGTTATCACTACACAGTCTTGTAAGGATGATATTGTCCTCTTAGGTGAGCATAAAACTTAGTATGTTTATCATGGGACTCACCGCCCTCCTGTAAAATGTAGTATAATACTGCACTAACACCTGACTTCAAGATACGGAAATGTGGTTGAGTTTTTAATTGTTTGGGAAGTTGCATCAGCCCGGTTGAACTGATTGCTGGTTAAATCTCAGCACTAATACGAAAGCCCGTGCAGGATTGGTCATTTTACTTCATCTCTGGCGTAGATTTGATATCCGGCTATGGAACAAACCACCTGTGTAGTGCGCAGCAGTTTACTCTATCATTCCTTATGACTGAAGTATAAGGTTTGCGTGTGGAAGACCTGAAGAGGTTGGCTGTCTTTGACCATAATTGTTTGCACTGTATCTTCAGCTACATGTGGTATACATTATTAAGGTAAGGTAGGGGAGGACAAGTCAAAAGGTGAAATTGTGAAAATACGTCGACTAAGATGGCTAGGAGATCCTTTGTGTATGTCGGGCCACCACCTTCTTCATTGAACAATGTTAACTGACATGTTGTAGGAAAGTGGGAAGTAGTCAAATTAAAATATGACATAAGTTCGTTACGTCTCTGGCTGTTGGTTGGAGACACTTAGGAGTTGTAGACCGCCTAACTGAAGGCTTCAGACTGTTGGTAATATGGCTTATATTCACCTAAAATGCTGTAGATGCATTCACTCTGTGAAATCTCAAAGATCCATGAAGTCCTCATGTTTCTCCATATAATTATTCTTTATCCCGTACATTTTCATCCATTATAATTCTCAAAAGAATGGATACTGAGCAGGAAATTGAACTCATTATTATGGTCATATTTCATGGTGAATTTGATATTTGGATGGATATCATTTAGGCAAAACCTTGCTGTCAGAAAAATGGAGTTGCAATGAGCTCACCAGCATCTTCAATTGTAGCAAACCTGTATATGAAAGCCCTAGAAAAGAAGGCATTAACAAGTTTTAGTTGTCATCCGAGAATACGGTACAGATATGTGGATAACACATTTATTATCTATCATAAAGAAAGCTGAAAAAGAAAACTTTCTAACACAGATTAACTTGATCTCAGAATATATATATATATATATATATATATATATATATATATATATATATATAGTTTACCAATGAAGTAGAACTATGAACTTCCTTGATTGTCTTGTAAAAACACAAACTGACGAGAAACTAAAGACGTTTACCATATACAGAAAGCCGACACATTCTAACAAGTATTTAAAATCTTCAATCAGATCATCCAATAGGAATGAAAGTTTCAGTAGCTTTAAATTTCGGTTAACAGAGCTACAAACATTGTAACAGATATGAAGAACGAAATATCCAATATAAAACAGATTTTGATTAGAAGCAGCTATCTCTGGCAAAGCTACTAGATAATATTACCAATAAAAAGGTGTATAAGGGAGAATAGAATATTGAAAAATCTTGGCTATCGATGATAGCCATTCCATATCGAAAGGACACAAATGAAAGATTTCAAAGACTATTTGCTTTATATGGTATTTAGGTATATTTCAAGCCCTCTAACTCTCAAGAGAAAGCTTTGGTAAATAAATGTCAAAGATATGGTTCACAAAATGTCACAAAGTAATTGTGTCTACAGGATAAAGTGTTCAGAATATGAAGCATGCTGTATAGGGGATAGCAGTAGACAGGTGAAGGTCAGATTCAATGAGAACATAGACTGTGCACGAAATGTCCACCTAGAAATGAAGTAAAATTAAAAAGTCTAGAGAAAAGATCGGCTATAGCAATCCAATCAAGTAGATATTGGACATAAGATTGATTTCGACAATTCTCAGTGCTCCCAGGTTTTCCAGTGGTTCTCTAACTGATGTCAGCTAATGATGAAATCCTCCATCCAATCAAACAAATTCCCTACAAAACCAATACTTGAAAATTTCGAAATTCTTGGAAGAGGATTTCATTCACATAAAGAAAGGGTTGACCTCTGAAGCCTTGTTCGTTTTAACCACACGCCGGGATTAATTTGAATAATTTATAATGGAGTGATAACTATGTTTTCGAAAAATTAGGAATTGTCTTACAATAATCAGGAAGGTTGACAACTAGATAGTTTATGAATACTAATACTGTATAATATGCTCTAAATGATGCATTTTATGTTTTTGCGGCTATTCGTTTTCAGCCTATCTCCTCTTGTCTGTTATCGCCTAAATACAAACGATTATTTTATCAATCAACTAAATGATTGTCAAACCTCTTGATTCTTTGATTGGACACTAGTAACTAGTGCGATGTGTTGAGTCCTTCCCTTCTTTGGTGCAGACTAAATTCTGTCACTGGAATCTCAGAAGGGATACGAGTTCCTTTAAGGTTGCAGATACATCGTGTTGCTGACTAATGATTGTCAACTAGCACGTAACCTAGGTCAGGCGAGGCTTCCTGCCGATCGGCTACAACCATCTAATATCATCAAACCTCTTGATTACTCAGGACTATTCTTAATTATTTCTGTAATTATTACTCATGCCTTCTGATTTGCCTTTTTATTAGCTGACAATAACGTTTGGCCATTGTTGTCAATCTGCAAATTAGTGTATTAGTGAAGTCTCTTCGCTGACACATGCGTTCTTAATTATACGAAATAGAAATTTTTCATATCCCGATGAAATAAGTATGGAGTGCTATTTCGCTTCTAAAATGGCACTATAGATTCAATCAGATGTTGATGCAAAAGAATGGACTCTTCGTCAAACACCTAGCTAAAAGCAAGGTTTTTCACTAAGATTATTTCGTGTTGCTGTAATATATATATATATATAATCAAATGAGTCTAATTATGATTATCGCAATTTGTCCACTCATTCACTAAATATCCTTTGAATTTTATCTTGAGATGAAATCGGTTAGAGAACCATTGGAAAAGTAGCAGAGAGTACTGAACACATGTTTCGTCCCAGTTTGGCGCTCTTAGGCGGTATACACCCACCACAGGAGTTTGAACCCCAGGTACAGCAGGTCGACTGCAAGGATAAATACTCGCGCTATATTGGGAATTGTCAGAAGTTGGAATTCATGAATTGGTCATTGGATTGGCGAGTTGCAGTGGCTAAATCTTCTACCAGTTAGCTTGCCTTGCAACCAGAAAGTCTTAGGGTTCGAGCTCTTGTAGTGGGTGGTGGGTGCATACTTCTGAAGAGTTCCAATGGAAACAGATGTCCAGTACTCCGGTGATGGTTTTCCAATGGTTGATGCTCTTTTAACCGATATCAGCTCATGAATTCTCTGAATTGTTTATCGCCTGAGCGTTTTTATTTAATTATATCTTATCCACTTAGACATTTTGGATTTCTTTTAAGTTAAAAATCTTTAAAAGTTTGATAATTAAAAAAATGTTTTGCTTTTATAAGAAAGTAGGAGTGCAGTGAAATAAAACGAAAATAAAACTTGGACTTATTTATTAAATGAAAAGATAGATGGATAATGAAAAGTAGAGTCTTATATATATATATATCCTTCTAATTTTCAAGCTAGCAATAAAACTTCATCTTATTTTATTCACACAAAGAACAAGGAGAAGAATGAACTAATTATTATTTAAATTTAATGGACACTGAAACCAAGCTATCTATCTTATTGAATCTCATTGATGTACATATATATATATATATATATATATATATATATATATATATATAAGGTTAAGGTTGAGATGATATTTATTAATTATGAGTACAGTTAAACATTCTTCAGGCCGTAAATAAAACGATTGATTTTCAGTGTTAAATTCGTTTTAAATTTGTTTTTAAAGGTCATTCGATATTTCTGTCGTTTTAGAATAACATTTGGGATAAAGTCTTCAATCATTATTACTATTATTATTATTATTATATCCTTTAATTCCTAGAGGAACATAGGACTTCAGCTGCGCGTCCACACATACTTAAGGGTAATGCAAGCTTGGCTTGCTTTTCCGATTCTGGCTTTGATATCCTTGTCAGTTCCGTCGGCCTGTAGTTGGAACAATGCTTCCCAGGTTGGTCGGTGGGTAGGTGAAGGAGGTTGTTGTAAAGGAATAAAAGAAAGTGGTTGGTTTATGTGATTACATAATTTTCTTTATCATTCCTGACTTGCATTGGAAACAGTAACTATTTTCATGACTGAAAGACAGTTATCTCGAATAGGTCTGCCTTTTCAAGGAAATATTAGGCTGGGAGTACAACTGCCTTGCTTGTGGCTCAGCCTTCTTATCCCATAATTTAGAATTATTATCTCTAAAGTGGGCTGAGAGAAATGGCAGATCATGTATATATATATATATATATATATATATATATAATTACGTATTTCCTGCCATGGTTCTGTACATAGACGGACGTTAAACTGAAATAGGATGGATTCAAATCCTTCGCATTAAATGTTTTGACACTGAGAAGAATAATTTAAACAAAAATTGTACTTAGTAATTGAGATTTACTTTACTTTCTCATTTTTCATCATTGTAGCCAGAAAATGAGGACAGACTGAAACAATTACAGCTAATGGAATTAGCTGTTCTAAACGGTATGACATGATTGATTATGTAATCTCTGTGCTTCTATCTTTGTGTGTGTGCGCGCGTGTGTGTGCGTGTGTGTGTGTTTCCGTGTGTTTGTTTGATTTTATGTGACTTTATGTATCTGGGGTGCTTTAATTAACTAGTAATCACAAAGAATAGCAACATTTATTATTATTAACCTATATATATATATTGCTACTCTAACATTAACCGATTAGTTTAATGAGTTTACGTGAGCGTGTGAGTGTGAGTGTGTGTGCGCGTATTAGTGTATGCTTTAACTCAATTCTCAAGAAATTGCATTTTTACTTTATCTAAGTGATAAAAGGGGAGAACACTTTGTTGCTCTATTTGTTGTTTATATTTCCATTGTTTACGTTTCATACACTTAAAAAAAGTGACACATTACTACCATTACTGTTTTGCTATAATCTCTATTTGTCTGCAATTTTTTGTTTTCTGTACGTGTGTGTGCGCGTTGTGTGTGTGTGTGTGCGTGTGAGAGAGAGAAAGAGAGTGGGGTAGACAACTATCTTTCTTACTTTTTCTTTCTTTAACGATAATTACTGGTCTCTTTTATATTTCAAGACGATTACACATCTCATCCAACAGTTAGTTGTACGACAATGCTGCATGCCTCCAAGTAATCCACAACGGGTAACTTACGGAAGCCTTCGAAGTGAGGACGGGAGTCAGGCAAGCCGGCTGGCGGCCAGCTATCACCAATGATCTTCCTGATTGCAGTAGATTGGATAATGCGACAGATAGCGGCGGTCGATGAGGAAACAGGCATAAAATGGACTCCCACAAAAATAGAACTTGCAGGATCTGGACTTCGCCGATGTGGTATATATGTCTGATTTCCCACAAACTGGAAGATATGCAAGTGAAAAGCAACAAGCTGGCAGAACAAGCATCCACAGAAGACAGGACTACAGGTGAACATAGATAAAACAGATGTGGTGATGAAGATTCCTGGCCAACACGAAGAGCAACAACAACAACCACAGACAACAATCAGCCAGAATAAATGGGAGGAACCTGAAAGAAACAACCTCCTTCACCTACCTAACTACCTACCTACCTACATACCTACCTACCTACATGGAAGCATCCTTTCAACTACTGGCGGACGGAACTGACGAGGATATCAAAGCCAGAATCGGAAGAGCAAGAAAAGCTTGCATTACTCTTAAGTCTGTGTGGAAGTCAACAGCACTGCTCACCATCAAAAATAACATCGGGATTTTCAACTCCAATGTGAAGTCAGTCAGTGCTACTCACCATACGGATGAGAGACTTGCACTGCGCGTCATAAACAGCATCTCAAACAAACTTCAAACATTCATCAACAGTTGTCTTCGCTCATTTCCACTCAAGATCAGATGGCCGGCCAGAAAAAATCACCAACATTGAGGGATCTCTGGCAATCAGCGAACCAACCAACACAGCCGGAACCGATTGTCAAACAAATAGGCAGGAAGAAATGGAGATGGATTGGATTGTGGCCATACTCTGAGGAAACCATCAAGTGAGTGATATCACTAGACAAGCCATTTCTCGAGTGGAACCAGGCCGAAAGTGAAGCGGGTGGCGAGTTGGTCGTCAGTGCATGGGTGAGGTTGACTTGGAGGAGGTCATGTGAGGAGGAGATGAAAGCATGTTGGCAGACTTGGAGTGGAGTGAAAACGTTGTCAGAGAAGAGAAGGCAATGGATACTTGTGTGGCTGAAGGTGTATGTTCCTCTAGGAATTAAAGGATATAATAATAATATAATAATAATTTATATTTTAATGTGGATGTGTTTTGTGTATGCGTGCTTGCTTGTGTTAGTCAGTGCTGAATTCAGTTTTCTTCAATGATGAAGTCAGTTCTATTACCACCTGCCACTACCACTACTACTACTCATCTTATTTAACAATGAAAGAGTTTTTATCATATATGAGTAAGTTTAATATATTATTTTATATATTGGTTTTGGGTGCTTCGCCTGTTTTAATTGCTTATAAATATATAAATATGCTGTTTTTGAGTTTATGTGTGCGTGTAGGCGCGTGTGTGTGAGTTTGTTTCAATGAATGAATGATTACTTGCTGTAACAAGTTACTTCCTGCATACACATTTCACTTGCTATCTGTGTACATGCATAATGTGTATCCACTGTGTTTACCTTGATATAGCTGTTTCCTGCTGACACTGGTGGTTACTCATTATGTCCTTTTTGGTTTTGTTTTCTTTGAATACCACCAATTTCCCTCTTCTTTTTGCCTCAGTAACTACCATTAAGCTGCATCTTTATTTATTCTATAGTAGATGTCATCATCGAGGTCACTTGACGTTACATTTTCTCTCCCCTGAAATTTTTTTCATTCTACAATAAATAATACGACTCTGCGTGTAATCCTACCTTTTTTATTAATACTATAAGTATTACTACTATTTCTACTAATGCTAATACTAATTACTACTGCTACTATCCTCACTAATCTTTAGAGTAATTTTAACTTCCCTTCCCTCCACTTTGAATTGAAAATTCAAAATTTCTAGACATTCCTTTTCGTACATTGGCCCCTCATCATCGACCAGCTGGCTCTAAACCAATTTTTTATTTTTATTTTTTTATTTTTTTATTTACACCTTGATTCCACACACTGTATTTTTGGTACAAGTATGGAATTGTCAGCATGTGATATATCGGTAGCCCAAATTTTGTAGGCCGACCATAGACATCAGGTGTCAGGTGTGCGTCGGCAGAGGATCGAACCCCGGACCATGTGCATGGTCGGCGAGAGTCCTAACCACTGTGACATCGATGCTTTTACATCAAAATTGTCTTTACCGATCAAGTAGTCATTTTAGTTAGTCAGTTGAGGAGTGGGATGAAATCAAAAAGGCTAAAAGTCACCGGAACAACTAACTAATATAGACGTTAGTAACAAGATATCTAAATTTTGAAGGAGAAAGAGAGAGGGCTGAGACTTAATTACGGAATTCAGGATATGTTAATTCTTAGGCGTTAGTAATAAGTTATTATACAGTCAAGAAAGTTACAGAATAGTGATGACTGAGAAGAATAAAATGACTCATAGGAATAACAAAGTCAAAATATAGTTAGTTACAAAGGCAGGGGTAAAATGGTTTTTAAAAACTTAATATATATATATATATATATATATATATATATTATGAAGAAGGGGCTTTACAAATTTCTTTCGCATGCACAGATTTGGCTTGTTCAGATGAACTTCAATTACCTGTGCTGTATATATGTAAAAGTTATGTTCATAGACCATGCGATAGGTTGGGTGATATACGTTAAATAACTTTAGAAGCTTTGGTAGAGTCGACTTGACGTCCTTTTATCGACAAGGTGAACTATAATTGAGCTGCGTAAAGCGTTTTGATGTCTTTTAACCTTTTAATTTCACCCCATGACCTCCCCCTTATATCTAAAACTGACTATCTAAAATACCTACTTGATTGGTAAAAACAACTTTAATGTTGTAAAAAGCGACCATATATATTAGTGTAGAGCCAGCCATCCAGGCAGCTAATCGATGATGAGGAACTGATGTACGAAATTGAATGAATATTTCTTCGCTCAATTTATTACTATTTAGCATTCTCATGCATGCGTAGAGTGTGTGTCAAAACAGACAACTTCATTGGTTGCAATGATTCTCTAGCTGATATCAATATACGTGATCAGAATTGAAACAAACTGAATCCTGACAAATTAGCTCTTTTGCTTAAAATTATTCTGCTACCGGCTAGCGACTGGCTACAGAACAAAATTTGCCTGCAGTTCTGGGGAGAGATCGGCAGTGAGGGTAAATAACTCGCCAAATGAAATCGGTCGGTGGTCCTGGTAAAATCATAGATTGGTAGAAGTTGGCATTCATTGGCTATTGGTTAGAGTCCACTAGCTTGATTTGTAGGCGTAAGGTCCTGGGTCCAAGCCTCTATATGTTGGTTGCTTACTGCTAAAATGTCCTGAGCTAGGGGTGAAACGACTGTCCGATACTCCCTTTTGGTTTTCCACCGGTTCTCTAATTTGATGTCACCTTGTGATCATATATTCGATTTTCCTTGGCAAATGAATAGTTTTTTTTTTTAACTTACTTACAAAGACTTTCTTTTAATTCTTCATTCAATTAAGGCGTAATTATTGAAGTCATTCAACCAGTGAATACCTTTAAGGTTGGGAATTTCATTGTTTTTAATTTGGTTAATTCAAAATTATATATGCAGAAGATAAACAAGTGAAGAGTACTCACACAAGATTATGTGTTGAAAAAGTTCTATTTACTAGTTCCCTAACTTGTACTAACACAATGAAAAAGTATTTCTTTTATACAACCTCTAACTAACAAACATTCGATTGCATGCTCTTAATTCAAGTTTTCATGTTTCATGCAAACACATGATTTATTGAATATGCTTATTATTATTTCTACTTAACATGTGACTGACTTGGTTCAATACTAACACCTGAATGCTTTTTAATACAATCTATAGAAATATGAAGATTGCTCTTACCAACAACACTTGAATAGTTACCTTTACACTAAAGTATTGTGAATATTAAGAAATAAAAACGCCTATGTAAATATTTTATATGGATGATGGTGATTAGAGGTGGAATCCAGGACAACAAGCATTTCATCCTGCCTGAGACTTGCCAACTGGATAAACCTACATTCATTCCCCGCAGTGAGTCAGTGATGCTGTTCCCACTGTTGGCTTCAACCCCAGTGCCGATAGTTTCAAACGCGAAAGCCCTTTATCCTTTAGACCAATTGGACCGCAAGAGCCACGACCTCTCTTGTGCAAGGGTTTTTTTATTAATTATTTAATTCCCTTTTAAATTTTGCCACCACTCACTGTGGAATGCAGGAGGTACATCCAGCTGACAAGTCCCAGGCAGGATGAAATGCACGTTGTCCTGGATTTTACTGTTAATCAACATCTACCAATCAACTTCTAATTACATGCATCTGCACTA